TCTTTGGTTGTTTCTACATTTCTGGTCACCTCGTCCCTAGAGGGGCTTGATATTTTTATTATGGCTATTCTCAGCAAGCTCAGCAAGCCGTACTGTGGTCTTTGCCAAGTTGTTTGTGGTCTCTGCTGAGCTGTTTTAATTTTTACCCTTACACATCCTTTCACTATTTGGGGCATCAGTTATATCCTAAACAGATTGTAGCACAAAAAATCCAAATAAGAAAAGATAATCTATCTACTTTAAATGATTTTCAAAGGTAATTGGGAGATATTAATCGGCTAAGACCTCATCTTAAGCTTACCACAGGAGAACTTAAACCTCTGTTTGATACCCTCAAGGGGGATGCAAATCCTAATTCCCCTCGACAGTTAACTGATGAGGGACGGATAGCTTTGCAGAAGGTGGAGGAAGCTGTTAGCCAACAGCAGATACATTATATAGACTATAACCAATTGCTGGCTGCTTGCATCCTTGCTACAACTCATGCGCCCACAGCAGTCCTTTGGCAAAAGGGATCATTAATGTGGGTCCATCTTCCTTCATCTCCAAGTAAAGTTTTTACACCCTATTATGAAGCTGTAGCTTTGTTAATGCAGAATTGTAGAATAGAATCTAGAAAATATTTTGGGAAAGAACCTGATGAAATATTTATTCCTTATCCCAAACAACAGTTAAATTGGTTATTGCAGAATACTGATATTTGGCCTATTGTATGTGCAAACCTTTCAGGCAAAATTGATAACCATTATCCAAAAGATAAGTTATTACAGTTTTCCTCTATGCATGCTTTTGTATTTCCTATAAATTTATGCATGCAGCCCATAGAAAGTGCGCTTACTGTGTTTACAGATGGCTCATCTAATGGGAAGGCAGCATACATGATAGGATCGCATGTTCATTCTCTTGAGTTTCCTCCTGCTTCAGCACAAATAATTGAACTATGTGCTGTAGCTGTTGTTTTTGAAACACTGAAAAACCAAGCTTTTAATTTGTATCCTGATAGCCAATATATAGCTCATGGTTTACAATTACTTGAACTGTTCCTTTTTTAGATACTGCTAATTCTCAAATTTTGCAATTACTTATGCAAATACAACTTAATTTAAGAGAATGTACAGTTCCTTATTTTGTAAGACATCTAAGAGCTCATACTGGACTGCCCAGACCCCTTAGTGAGGGCAGTGCCACAGCAGATTTATATACCAGGAAGGTTATAGGCCTTACACAGAACAGTTAGCCAAACAATCTCATTCTCTACATCATCAAAATAGTAATAGCTTGAGACAACAATTTGGTATTTCTAGAGAATGTGCATGTCAAATTGTAAAAACTTGTCCTGAATGTCCTCAATTTCTTCCTGTACCACATAATGGTGTTAATCTTTGAGGACTTATACCTAATCAATTATGGCAGATGGATGTTACTCATATTTCTGACTTTGGAAAATTAAAATATGTACATGTGACTCTTGATACCTTTTCAGGCTTTTAAGTTACAACTGCTTTAACAGGAGAAACAACTAAAAATGTAATTAGTCATTGCTTACATTGTTTTTCTATGCTGGCTGTTCCAAATCAGATAAAACAAGAAATAGAACTGGCTATTACAGTCAAACGTTTGAGATGTTTTGTCAACAATTTAACATTATCCATATTACTAAAATCCATTTTAATCAAGAACTAGATATTAAGAAACAGATATTGTAAAACTTTAAAACAATATCTTCATAAAATAAAAAAGGGGAGCTATATCCCCATACACCACTAATTTATTTAAATCATGTTCTTTTATTTTAAAATTTCAAAATTTGGAAGCCAAGGAACTGAGTGTCTATGGCATCCTACAACTTGGCATACTTATGCCTAGGTGAAATGGAAGGATCCACTTACAGGCATATGCCATGACCCAGATCAGGTATTTAATATGGGGAAGAGGGAATGTTTGTGTTTCTTCTGCAGGATGCTGAAGGAGCATGCTAGCTGCCAGAATGATTGGTGAGACATGCTGATGCTGGGACCAAGAATGATGCTGACCTGTGTGCTTGCTGATTGCCCTGACAATGGTCACTGGGAAGCTGTATTGGACATATGTTCCTGACCCACTTTTGCTTGCCTATATCCCAGATTGGACAAGCTGCCTTGGTTCAAGCTTTTAGACCTTGTGGGACAGAGAATCAAAAAGAGAAGTTATAATGACTCTTCTACTTCCTTTAATGTGACCATTTATTCTGACTCATTCATGGACTGGCTTAGAAATCAATCCAATATTGGAAATGACAGTCTTCATTTGGAAGGCTGGTTCTGGACATTTTCAGAGACATGTCTGGAAGTTAGCAGCACCTCTCTATGAAGTCACACTGGCTATAGATAACATTGGGACAGGATCTGGACTGACAACAAGTGTTAGTGCTTGTGTTAAAGCTCCTAATCTTTTATTAATTGGTCATGTTAAAATTACTTTTATCTCTTCTACTGTATTCAATGTAAGTTGTATTGATTGTATACTTTCTAATTGTGTTAGTATGTTGAAATCTGGCATGTCGGTTATGGTGGTCTATCAACCAGCTTTTGTTTTATTGCCAGTTAGTATTTCAGAACCTTGGTATTCTGAAAAAGGTTTACAAGTATTGGAAGAAGTGAGTCATGCTTTAAGCAGAAGCAAGAGAGTAGTGGACTTGATTATTGTTGGTATAGCAGCTTTGATTACATTGATAGCCAGTACCACTGCTTCCACAATTGCTTTGACACAGGAAGTTAAGACAGCTATGTTTGTTAATCATCTAGCAAAAAATGTTACTAATATTCTGAGTATTCAAGAGAATTTAGATAGACATTTGGAACAACGGATTGATGCTCTTTATGTTACTGTTCATATTATTGGAGAGAAGGTTCAGGGCCATGCCAAATACCAATAGATTTGTGTTACTGCTAAAATTTACAATGACCGCCACTATAATTGGGAAAAAGTTCAGAGACACTTGCAGGGTATTTGGCATAATTCTAACACCTCTTTGGATGTTTTAGCCTTGCACACTGAGATTGTGAATTTAAAGAATGTTGCTCCAATGAGCTTTGATCTAGCAGATACTGCTGATAAAATTATTCATGGCCTGATGTCAGTGTTTCCATCTTGGTCAAGCTTCAAGAATGGCATATATAGCTTGATCATGCTAGCCCTTTTTGTCCTGGGAATACTTTTATTCCTGCTCGCCATGTTAAAGCTTTAACCACATCAACATGCTGGCAGCCAAAGTGCATGGCTTGAAACTAAGAATGGACCCCCAAAATTAACAGGCTGCCAAGCCAATGACGGACAACCTTCTGAAGCGCCTTACCAAGCTAAGACAGAAGTGCATTGCTTTTGATAATGCATATTCAATGACCGCTAAGGGGGGCGTTGCTGTCAAAATGACTGAAGACAGGCTCAGTCTTGTTAAATAATATAAAGGGGGGAGATGTGGAGAGCCTTTGGGGCTGATTGGCAGGAATCTGACATTGGCCAAGGACAAGGAATTGGGCTTTAGACAAGAATCTGACTTTGGGCCATGACAAGGAAGTAAGTTCAGGCAGGAGTCTATTTTTAGGCTAAAACAGAAGTAAATTCAGTCAGGAATCCTAGTCTTAGGCTAAAATAAAGAGGTAAGCCTCAGGCATGAATATGATTGTGGGCTAGGACAGGGAAGTAGGCTCAGATACTTGGTCATCTTGATGAGCCCTTAGAACCAGCGATGAGAGTGATCACGGGGTGATCTCTGGACTCTGTATATTGCCTTGTTTGTTCGTTCCTTGACTGTTTGTTTCTATTATAATGGTTCCTCAAACCTAGAACTGACCTAAATACTTGCATGTAATTAAAAGGGTTTAAAAGAAAAGTTGAATTAAACGAACCTGCCTTCAGCCTCAGAACTGGCTGGGGTCATGCTGCAATTTTGTCTAACCGTCTCTTTTCTTTTAATCCTCACTCCTGTGCTGGAGAACCTGTTGGCTGACTGAGCGGGCTTGGTCATGTGACCCATAAACCTTTTCTTCCCTAAGCTGCTTTTGGTCAGAGCATCTGTTATCACAGCAACAGAAAGGCTGTCCAACAAGTCTCTAGGCTTTAAACTCTTGTTAAATATTTATTTTTGTCAGTTTAATGGTTGTGGCTCCATTTCATTTATAAAAATGCCTACTCAACACCCCTAAAAAGCACTTAAAATATAAAATGACTTAATAATAATTCAATTTCCCTTTCTAACCTGCTTCTCTAAATGTTTGATATATTATAAATAGCATACAATCTACCCAAATATGTCAAAAATCTAGAAGCTGTTTTTGAAACCACCCCAACTCTCCCAACAAATTTAATGTCCAAACCTGTTCATAAAACGCTGGTCACTAGACTCCCAAGATCAGGAAGAAACCAAGCCTCCTGTTCAGTTGCTGAATTCCTCAGTCTACCATATTACATGGCATACTGCAGGAACACAAAAAATATTTGTTGAATGGGTACACAAACGCTGAGTCCTAGGACTGAGCTAATCTATGCGTTGTTACACTCTTCCCACGTGCACAGGATACTCTCACGAAATGTGAATTCCATTTTGAGGGCTAGCTGAGAGTTTGTTACATCCTACTTTTACAACGGTAACCTTCCTCCCTTTATTTCCTCACTCCTATATTTGAAAAAAAAAAGCAGAAGGGCTTTGGAAAACTTAGTCATCACTTCACATTGCATTGGATTCACATCTCACGCTACAAACACCAGAAACAGCACTGAAAGCTAGAAGGCAAACGGTTACTCCATTTGCCAAGGACGAACAGCGAAGGTTCCCTGGACAAACCCTTAGCACAGCATCCTGGGAACTGTAGTCTCCCAGGGAGACGTGATGGCCAACAATATCCTGGTGCGTGCTGGGATATGTAGTCAGACTGCTTAGACACCCAATAGGAATCGGAGAGTCGCGCGTTGCACTCTGGGAATCTTAGTCTTTTTGCGACCTCGAACCACCAGGGTGAAGAGGCATACAACCTGTCGCCATTTTAGGTCTCGAGGTGCAGCGCCTGAGAGAGTCAGTGCGCAGGCGGGCTCGGCCCTGGCTCTGGGCGGGCCCCGCCTCCAGGGTGCCTGAAGCCCGCCCCTCGCCCAGGCTCCGCCTTCCCACACGTGTCTGCGGCCGAGGGGAGGCGCCTGAGCCGGAGCGGGCTCTGGAGCGATCGGGCCCCGTCCTCATACAGGTTTCTGACAGCCGCTCCTGGGAGCGGTCCTGGCTGCCGGATGCTTCCGTCCCGACTGCGGCGGGCCGGGCTGGACGCTTAGTGCCCGGCTCGAGCCCTGCCTGAGGCGCCCGCGGGGGTGGCAGTGGCCTCCGCCCCGCGGAGACCGAGCGGCTGAAGGACGAGGCGGCGGCCGTGGGGAGGAGGATGGGGGCTAACCAGTTAGTGGTGCTCAACGTCTATGACATGGTGAGTGCGGGCCCTGGCGGCCCGCGCCAGCCGGCCCCCTGAGGGTCTGGGACCCCGGCCCGGTGCTTCCTGCCTCGCGCCCCCGCCTCCAGCTTAGTTCTCAGGGGTGGGGGGAGGGGACACTCGCACAGTCTTCTAATCCCGAGACTGGCCGGCGCGCCTCCTGGAGGTGTGCAGTCAGTCCGAGTGAGGACTTGGGCTTGAGCCTCCTCCCAGCCCTCAGCTTCCCTGGCAGTGGGCCCGACCCCTCAGTGGTGCTCTCTCCGCGAAGCTTCCGTCGCCAAGCGACCTCCCCGCCACCACCTAGTCTCTAAGCTGCCTAGCTCCCCTCTGCCCTGCTCCTGCTGGCCCTTGCCTGTCTCCTAAAGCTCAAGTCTTCCAACAACTCCCAAGCCCCTCAAATCTAGAAAGTCACGGTTGCGATGCGGATGCTAGCGTCTCCCCAAAGGTAAACAGGAGCCAACACACCCTCACCTCCAGGGCAGCCTCATTAAAATGAATGAAGCTAAAAATTATCTAGAAAATAGCGCCGTTGAATTATTTAGAGATCACAGAGGTGATCCTAGATTCCAGAGACCACTTTCCAGGTGATGCAACAGGTGGATGACATGACCACTAGAGAGGGAAGGGAAGCCTTGTTTATTGTGTCATCTAACTTTGAAGAACTGCACACACACAGGCTAGGGTTCAAAGACTGGGTCCCCTGGGGTTGCAATTGCAATAATACCCCTAGAAGAAGCGCCGACTCCAGAATGATCGCCCCTGGGAGTTAATGTTGGGGTTTGTTCCCTTGCTTTTGGTTACTTAAGTTTTGTTTTGTAAAGTATAACCTTCCCCTGAAACGCCTGAAATTTCTTGGATATGCGTTGACACATGAAAATTCTCCGGCCTTATTTCTGTTGGCTTAAAAATACTTAGCAGAAATTCAACAGTAAAAAGTCTGGTTCTTATTTATAGCTCTAAGCTCTTTATGTATTGTTTGTAAATTTTTAAATGAACGGGGAGCTATTGATAGGAATTCCTCATGCCATATGTAGAAATTAATGTTGACAGGGCATATGGCCTCTCTGTAACTAGAAGTGAAGTTTCTCTTCCAGGAGGTTCTAGTGTAAGTCTGGAGATGAGACGTAGATTAACAGACTAGGAAACGTGAATCATGAAGAGAAAAGTTGAATATCTGGGGCAAGAGATTCTAGAAAAGCATGTGTATTGTATGACTAACAGCCTACATTACTGGTTAAGAAATTACTCTCTGACTTTAAACTTTTTGTGTTCCATGGGAATCCTTTTTTAAGACTTAATATTGCCCCCTTTTTTGTTGTTGTGTTGTTGTTGTTGTTTTGAGCACGGTTTCTCTGTGTAGTTCTAGCTATCCTGGAATTATCTTTGTAGACCAGGCTGGCCTCAAACTCACAGAGATCCACCTGACTCTGCCTCCACTAGGATTAAAGGCCTGTGTCACCACTGTCAGCTTAATATTACACTTGTATTATTTCACTGCCTCTTGCCTATCAGACTTTGGATTTTTTTTTTTAACTGATGAAGACTATTATAAGCCAGGATATGTTTTACTCTGGAGAATATGTATTGAGATGTCATCTATATTTTTAATCAATTAGGATTATGCAATGACCAGTGGCTATAGTTTCAGAACCCAAAAGAAATCTGTAAATTAGGTTTTGCTTTTTAGATTAAATTGAATATGCATTCTGTGAATCGGAAAAACCGTTACTAATTTCGAGGTTGTAAGGGGTAAGGCTGGTGTTCAAAACGAATGTTTTTTAGGGGGAAACAGTTTTGAATGATGTTAAAGTATGAAGTAATCAAAGAACTTATTCTTCCTGTCACTCTAGTAGATACAGAGAAAGCAGACAGGAAAAGGGTAAGTGACCTTCCTGGGTGACTAAAAGCAGGACCTAGAATTTCTAGATGACAGTCTTGATTCAGTATTGTCTCTATTGAATAATCCCCTTAATTATTTCTTACATATTGCTTTATTTCATCAATAGGAAGAGAAGCATTTGAATAAAACTTTATTTAAGAGACCCTTGTATGTTCTTTTAAAGGCTTTTGGTCTATGAATGCTTTTTTTTTTTTTTTGGTTTTTCGAGACAGGGTTTTTCTCTGTGTAGCCCTGGCTGTCCTGGAACTCACTCTGTAGACCAGGCTGGCCTCAGAAATCCGCCTGCCTCTGCCTCCCGAGTGCTGGGATTAAAGGCATGCACCACCACTGCTTTTGATAGCCATTACTCTACTCAGCATCTCAAACCAAAAGCTTAGAAGAAAACCTAAGTAGTTATTATAAACCCTTCACAGTCAGTTACCTGGCCTGGTCCAACTCTTAGTTTTGGTTGATCAGTTTAAAAGTAACAGAACTTGACAATCAGCAGCTTATATTGGAAAGACACTGTCTTAAATTCAGAGATTAAGAAGAGATAGTTTAGCAGCTCAGTCATGTCATTAAGATTTTTGCAACCTCCTACTCTTCTCTGCTCAGCTTGCTGCCATTTGTCTTTGATTTGTGTCCTTAGAGTTGCAGAATTACTGCCATAGCACTAAATTTAGTGTCATCATATAACAAGATGTGGAAGTTAGATGTACTGGGGATGGGGACAGAGATACCTGTACCTCTATTCTAACAGAAAGAATCTTTCCTTCCAGAGATTGTTCGAAATTGGCTCCCATGTATCTAACTCTGCTGTACCAGAATAAGTACATCACTGGCTTTTCTAGCCTCTGTAGGTAACTTTATCCATCACACATCTGACTTTCTGAATTGTGTGTGTCCATGAGCACATGTGGAGAGGTTGAACAGCCTCAGGTGTTGTTCCTCAGATGCGTGCTCGTGTTCTCTCTCTCTCTCTCTCTTTTTAAGATGAAGTTTCTAGCTGGCCCAGAACTCACCAGTAGGCTAAATTGGCTGGCTTGTGAGCCCCATGAATTCATTTGTCTCTACCTGTCCTGTGTTTATATTAAAATACTATCATGCTTGAGGCTGGAGAGATGGCTTAGTGATTAAGAGCACTGGCCACTCTTCCAGAATGACCTGGGTTCAATTCCCAGCACCCACATAGCAGCTTACAACTGTACCTCCAGTTCCAGGGGATCCAGTACTCTCACAAAGACATCCGTGCAGGTAAAACACCAGTGCACATAAAAATAAATATTTATAAAAAAAATCCAAATACTGTCATGCTTGGTTTTGAGGGGAGCGTGGTAAGATAGTTTTTTATTATGTAGCACACCAGCCTGGCCTAGAACTCACAGAGAATTTCCTGCTTCTGCATCCTGAGTCCTAGATTAAAGGTGTGTGCCTCCATGCCCACCAGCTGTTGTTTAAACATAGATTCTGGAGAGTGAACTCAGATCTGTATGCTTGCCACGCAAGCACTTTACCAACAGAGCCACCCTGCTATACCCAACTTTTTGAATATTTAATAATTTTCAAGTTAGATTTGTTTTTCTTTATTCTTGTTTTACCTGCAAGTATGTACTTAGTTATTGTTTGGTTTCTCCATTGTGTAGTTGATTGGTTGCCTTTGAGACAGAATCTGATGTTGACCAAGCTTGTCCTGAATTCCTGATCTTCATTCTTTAAGTATACCTTTTAAAAGCTCATCTCGCCTGGCAGTGGTGGCGCACGCCTTTAATCCCAGCACTCGGGAGGCAGAGGCAGGCGGATTTCTGAGTTCGAGGCCAGCCTGGTCTACAGAGTGAGTTCCAGGACAGCCGGGGCTACACAGAGAAACCCTGTGAAAAGTAAAAAAAAAAAAAAGCTCATCTCACTAAACAGGGACCCATCCAGAAATTTCAGTCACTTCACTTTAGAAAGACTTAGTTGCATCTATAGTCTTCAGCCATATTATATATTCACAGATTTAGGGGATTAGGTTATAGTTATCTTTGGAAGTCATTTCACCTACCAAACTATCAATGAAAAATATAACCCCCAAATAGTCAGTGTTCCTCTTAGTAGTTCCTTGATTTTGCATAGAGTAACTGTTAGCCTAGTAACTAAATTTCTTTTTTTTTTTTTTTTTTGAGACAGGGTTTCTCTGTGTAGCCTTGGCTGTCCTGGAACTCACTCTGTAGACCAGGCTGGCCTCGAACTCAGAAATCGACCTGCCTGTGCCTCCCAAGTGCTGGGCTTAAAGGTGTGCGCCACCACCGCCCGCCGTAACTAAACCTCTTAAGAGGATCAGAGAACCTCTTCTTCATTCCAGTTCAGGCTCTCTCTTCTTTTAAAGTTGCATTTTTCACAGTAGTCTTCAATAGGCAGAGATGATGATGATAGTGATGGTGATGATCTTAATCAAGGATACCTTTCCTGTTAATGTCATTACAGAATGCAAGGTTTCTCTTTAAAGGCACTAGTCTCTAACAGTTGGAGCTGCTGTCTTCACATGTGCCTTTTCTACATCTTTATTATGTGTGTGTTGCATGATGGGTTACCATAAGGTCATACTATTGCAAACATTTGGAGGTAAGAGGACACTCATACCTTGTGCATTCATATCTCTCCTTTTGTTTTTACAAGAGTTATGGAACCAAACTAGATTTCCAGGTTTTTGTGGCAAGCATGTTTACGACATAGCCATCTCCCTGCCCCTTTTCTCCATTCTTAAACTCAGAATCCTTTCTTTGCCAAACATTACCTTTTTCATATTTTCCTGCTCTCTTCTGTACATCTTACTAAGAGCAGTAAACAGTAACTAGGCCACCGCCTTGGATGTTATGCTGTCTTGAAATTTACCTGCCAAACAACTTAGTAGTTCACTACTTTTGAGCCACCCTCACTTATATTTTCAGGACAGAGGCAGAGCGGAGTTAGGTTCAGGCTGTGATACAAATGACTTCTAGCCTGGATCTCAGCAGGGTCCTTGTTTCTTTCTGAAACAAAGGCTTGGGCTTCCCACTTCTCTTGGCATTTGTATTAGCTACTTTTCTGTTGCTATAATAAAACACTCTGATCAAAACAGCTTAGCAGGGGGTGTGGGATG